AAACAAGTATGAACAGCAAAATATTATTTAAAAATGATTTGTTCAGATGCCCATGGAATGAAACACTGTTTGAAAGAATTAATTTCTAACAACCTGGGGGAAACAGAAAGGTGAAAGGTGGGAATAGTCAAGCGAGGTTCTGTCTTAAAGGGGTTTGGAGCTCGAAAACGCAAAGCAAGCCAAAGTACTGGAAGTGCTGAACACAGAGGTTCACAGACTCTTTCCATATCATGGCATTTGCTTTTTGTTTGTTTGTTTTGGGGTGGCTGGCTTGAATGGAGATCCAAACCCTTGACGTTGGTGTTATCCACCGTATCATGATATTCAATCTTTTCCCCTCTCTAATGGCCTCTGCTGATTCCTTTGTCATCCACTCAGGCAGTGTCACTCAGCAAACACAGGCTCTGAAGATTTATAAATGAATAAGCTTCCATCATGAATCTCTGAATCTTCACGTGCCCAGTCCACCAGCTGTTGAGGGCGGAGGGGACAGGATGCAAATGGGTGTGGGTAAGACCATTAAATCATTGCATTTCGGTGTGGTAAGAATTGCAGCTGTGTGTGTACAGAGCCATCGGAGCTGAGGCGAGGCCATGACTGACCCTGTAATGTTTCACAGAGAGTGACACTTGATATAGTCCTCATGACATGAAAAGGCAAGTGTAGTAAAGGGTTGGGGCCACCAGGGTACAGAAAGGAGAGACAAAGTAGCCAAGGGAGCAAATACAGAGGCAGAGAGGTTCGAAAGAACAAGGTATTTGAGGAGCACGGTTGCTATTTCTCACTATTAGAAAGAAAGTTCTAGCTTCCTTTAGGTAGTGCATATTTCATGGCCTTCACCTATGACCTGAGTCCCAAGAGCACTCAGTTTCCTATCCCCACCTAAAGGTCATTACAAGTGTAATCTGATATAAACTTCCAATTTAGCCAACCATGGAGGGCCAAAGAAGAGATGACCAGGGGCACCAATATTTGCTGAGCACTTATGAAATGTGTAGCTAAGCCCCTTCCAGCATTGCTCTGTTTTAACTCTAATGATGAGTCCCTGGGCTAGGCACTATTATTATTCCCATTTTAAAATTAAAAAAAACTGAGGCACGGAGAGGCTGGGCATCTTGTCCAGAGTTATCCTGGTGAGCAACAGGCGATGTGACTGCAGGGTGTCAAGTCTTAGCGAGTGTGCTATCTCACATGAATGCACAGTCACGACCAGGAAAAAACGTGTGATGTGAGCATCCCCCTCATGCTGGGGCTTGCTCTGCTCATTTGGAAAGAACAGCGCAATGGTGAGGATGTCACGTACTGTGTGAGCCAGTGACACAGATATGCACCGCCCAGATCTGTCTGCAAAGAGGGACTTGCCGCCCAGCTCTGAGTGCTGTTGGCAGCTGGCCCTTTCGGCGACTGCCTCAGCTGCACAGTTGCCTAGTTCAATGTCATGCCATTTCCCATTGGATCACATCCAATGCCTGATTCAGGAGGGCATCGAAGGGTCCAGCCCTTTAGGCCTAATAACGTGAAGGGCCACACTAGCTCTGGAGCCTGCAGTGGCGTCGCTGGGTACACTGTAGCTCAATTTTTCCCTCTTCCCATCCTGCTTCCTGTCCCTCCTGCCACAGATGTTGACCCTGTGGGCATCCCTGAAAGAACATCCTGCCACTCTGTCTCAGAATCTGCTTCCTTGGGAACTCAATCTATGACATCAATTCCATTGACCAGAGAAATATGTGTCCTCTCACTTTGTCTCCATAACTTCCTTTCACATTGAGTTTCCTTTGATTTTTCATGTTCCAGATAACTATCTAAGAACAAAAGTATATAAAATTCTCAAAGACGGGCTACACAAAGATTCAGTCCCCATTTCTCGTATTTTTTTTTTTTTTTGGTTGACAGACTTCAGTTTTTAAAGCTGTTTTAGGTTCACAACAAAATTGAGCAGAAGATACATAGAGTTCCCCTTTACCCTAGCTCCGCACCCAGACACCCTCCCTTTCTACCAACATCCATCTCCCTTGATTTCAGCAATAGATTGTGGAAGACCTCTTTAAAACCAGAAATTCTATTAAAATAGTTTATATGAAATTTTAATTCCTTTTTTTTTAACATTTGAGTGATTGGCAGACTTGATTCCAAAAGCTTCTTGCTGCTTGGCCTTGCGTAGACTCCTTAAACTTTCTGAGACCCAGTGTCCCATCTCGAGAACTGGAATAATAATTATTGGGAGGATTCAATTAGATAACATATCCTAACTCCAAGCAAAGTGCCTGGTGTTTAATAAGGATGCAGAAACTGGGCATTTATATATAAAGTTGGACTCAGGGTGTGTTATTTTCCTATGGCTGCTATAACACATTACCACAAACTTGGTGGCTTAAACAATAGAATTTCATTCTCTCACGATTCTGGAGGCCAGAAGACCCAACTCAGTTTCACTGGCCCATATCAAAGCATCCACAGGGCCCCGCTCCCTCCAGAGGTTCTAGAAGAGAATCCTTTCTTGTCTTTCCCACCTCCCTCTGGCTGCTGGCATTCCTTGTCTTATGACCACATCACTCCAATCTCTGCCTCCATGGTCACATTACCTTCTCATCTCTGTGCATGAAATCTCCCTCTGCCATTGCAGTTAGGGCCCACCCTGATGATCCACAATAATCCCCTCAACTCAAGACCCTTAATTTAATCACATCTGCAAAGACCCTGTTTTTATATAAGGTAACATTTACAAGTTCCAGAACCTGATATCTTGGGGAAGGGGGCATTTTTCAGCCTACCACATGGGATGACACAGTACCTGTCCTGTCTTCATAAGGCATGGTCCTAAACATTTCACCTTTGGACCATGAAAATAGTCTTTTATCCCTTCTAGCTTGTTGTTGAAAATCATCTGTCTTATTTTAAAACCCTTTCCTCCCTTCCTCTCCCAGAAGGGACAATGGCTCCCAAATGCAGTTGGGTAAGGTTTCTGTTAGGTCTCAGCACCACGCCAGTTGCTGTTTTGGAGGCATCTTTCCAAGGTTTTCATTACTTTGATGAGCTCGAATTTAATTAATTCTAGTACCGTTTCCCAAACTTACATATTTCAGGCTCCTCGGATTCAGTAGATGGGGTGATGTCTGGGAATCCAGTCTTCTCAAAGTGCCCTAGGGGATTCTCATCATCAGCCAAGATCTGGAAACACAGAACCCTTCTACAAAGCCTTGAACCAAAGCCCTCGGAACAGGGAATTCCCCTTCCTGCCTGCTGGGTGTGTCATGGTTACACGACCGGGTTTTTATTAAAAGGATGGAGGGAAGGGGGCAGAGCAACCCTGAGAACTACCTGTACAATATTCACTGCAAGAATTCCCCAGCGGGAAAACTTCCAATTCCGAATTAAATAAAGGATGACGACGGCCCGGATTTGGCAGTCCTGCAGCTGTCACTAGGTCGGGACCTCGTGGGTCTGACTGATCAAGGCCGGCCGTGCCCTCCTCGGGAGCCAAGGCTTCTCCTCTGAGAGCAGCTCCAGCGAGGGGGAGCGGGGTACTGGGTGGGCTCTCCCCGGAGAGGTCCTGCGGCCTTGCGGTGGGCTGGGGAGTGGCTTTCAGCACCACCCCTGCAAGCGGCAGCCACTCCAGCGTGGCGTGGGCAGGGGGCGTGGAGAGACGTAGGTATATTTGGGGAGTGGCTTTCAGCCCCCCCCCTGCAAGCGGCAGCCACTCCAGCGTGGCGTGGGCAGGGGGCGTGGAGAGACGTAGGTATATTTATTCCAGCCTGAGAGCGGGGTGCCGGGGCCGCTCCAAGCTACTCGAGGAGCTGTCCTGAGCCCGAGAGCAGGCTGGTTCCGAAGAGGGCTATGAACCCAGCGCTCCTGGCTGGCCAGGTGAGGGCGGCCGTGGTGTGGGCACCCGACGCTCGGAAAATTCGCGGGAGTGGCCCTTGGGGGGTGATGGAGCGCACAGTCCGGCTCAACCCTGGGTAATGCGGGCTCAGGCTCCCCTGCAGACAGGCCGGGGATGATGCGGGCTCAGGCTCACGCTCGGTCGGGGGTGATGCGGGCTCAGGCTCCCCTGCAGCCAGGCCGGCGGCCGCAGCCCGGCGATCTGCCGCTGGGGCGCTGTTCCCGCGCGCGGCAGCTAGTGGCGCTCAACCCCCGCGTCC